TTTTTGATTATATTATAACAATTTTATTTGTACCGTCGAAGAAACACCGTATTAGCGTAGTGAGCACAGATTTATATTTAAAAGAAAGAAAAAAAAAGATATATACAAGACTTTCTACAAAACCGTGTTCATTTTACAACGACATGACAGCACATGTTATACTTATAAAATTACGATAAAAGTAAAAAAAAAAAAACAGAGAGGATACGTTCGTTCGAATATGTGCGGGTCTATCGTGCTAATTTTTGATTGTACATTATCTCATTACTATTAAGACACCAATGCGTTTTCCGATGGAAAGATGCATAAAAATGTATATTTTCAAAGAGTACATATATACGTTATTATGCATTCTTCCAACGGTGTGTCACCGTTTCAATATTTTTTCTACGGAGTAGAATTTTCAGAGTTTAGCAATCTGGTTAAAGGTTCTTTCATCTCCTCGTAGTGCAACAGAGATATGTATCACATATTACGTTGAAAATGTTATGTAAAATTTGAAAGCGATTCCGCCTTGTATTCGACTATTCACCAGCGACTAATGATAACGCGCATTCCAATGCCTGTGTAACATCTCCCATGTCAATGAAGAAAAGAATAAATTACGAATAATAAGTAAATAAATCAAAATCTTGAAACAACCAACACAGATGTGAATCTAGGGCCATTGATCATTCTTTGACTACCGAATTCTCGTCTCGTTTCCCACCATCCGAACCAGCATTTTTCAGCGAAGAAAAAAAAAAAAGGAGATGGAACAGGCCAAAGCAATAATGCTGTTCTATTCAATTTGTCAGAATGTTCGATGCTTTCTACTAAAGATCGGCGAAAGATGGGATGAAGAAGCAATGACTCGGACCCCCTACGGTTTCCTCAGAGACCTTGTTACATCGTCCTCGAAGCAGCAGTGGCCTGTATTGTATGAGAACGCATTCAGTCTCCCAGGCAAAGGCTGTACGGACAGAAGTCGAACGAGATGTGACCGATAATGTAATTATGCGGGACAGGTTTTTTGTGCCGGTACTCTAACTTGATCTCTCGAGAGTCCTTCTCTCTTCCTTTTTTCTACTTGTGCCTCCTCTCTCTCTCTCTCTCTCTCTCTTCCATCCTCTCCTTCGCCAACATTTCCTTTTTCCGTCTCTTTCCTACGTATCTTCGTCCCCTGTTCCGTTTTATTTATTTTATCCAACTCCCCTACCCTGTCCTTTCAGAGTTTTCCCACTTTCAATCGGTTCCTTTTCTGCTTGCTAATTCCATATTTCGATATTCCCCGCTCCGTAGAAAGAAATACACGTCTTTCTACGGTACTTGCCCTAGTGAGAAGAGAGCACGATGGAAAAGGACGAAAGAAGAAGGCGGACCGACGACGCAGAAACGTAGCACGATCTGGCCGCTGCTGTCAGCTACATGCATCGATGTTAGCGCCTGACTGCCTGCCGGAGGAGCCGTGTGTTCATGTAAGATCCGAAGTCGTATGCGTTTGTGTCCTGCGGAAGAAGAGGAGGTAAAGCCAGTGCAGAAAGAGAAGGATCGTATATACAAGTTGCACATATTGATCGGATACGCGCGAATATGTTGCAAGGTAAGAATCAAGTATAAATAAATATCGTATATATGTATACATGAGAGAGAGATATATAATTACGTTATATTTCGATCAACATAAAATATTGCAACTAATAAAAAAAAAAAGATACATACCAGAATAGAAAAATCATCCGGCTTTGCTTCCACGAAGATTTCCTATTTTCATCGTTGCTGTAAAATAATTGTACAGAAAAATCAAGAACTTTTGATACAATTTGTTCGCTGCAATTAACAAGCGTAACTAACAGCTGACTCGATTTTGCAAGCACGACGAGACGAACCCCTTTGTTGCAGCTCGGAACGGACCGACCGTCGAGCGAATCGAGGTTTAAAAAGCCGAAGATGGTACATGGTTTTGCGTAATGCTCCGCCGAGTATGACCGTCGGGTGGTTCGTAGCGAATCCAATTAGGTTTGCGACGGTCGGACAAAAACATTTGATCGGGAATAAACCGGCACCGGTCGCTCCTCACGAAGACGGCCCTCGAGAGACTCGCTTCCCCGTTCGTGAGCCGTACATAATACACGTTCCACTCAATTGTAAACTGTGTATCAGTCGAAACGGCTTCTTCTCCGTGGCGCACTGATAATGTACAATATTCAATTTTTGTTTTCTCGTGCCACGATTTATCAAATATCTTCTATTACAGCCTAGATTCGTACAACAGCATTCAAAATTCATTGCCCGATATTATAGAATTTCGATACCCGTGAAATCGATTTTCTCTGTCTTGATCTTTCTCTCTGTATGTTTGTCATTTACAATGTAAAACCGTCTTGATTTCTATCTGCAAAAAATTTTTATGTACACTGATTCTTTCATTGTTCGAATAAAAAACAAAAAAAAAAAAGGAAGAAAGAGGATGATTATTTTTAGAATCGACAAAATGTACCCCAAAAATTCACGTGACAGATTGTTATTGAACCGTGTGTACCTTTTCAATCCGAGTAATAATAGCTCTGCACGCGTCAAGATCGTTTCTCTTTTTTTGAATTGCCCTGTATGCACGCTCCGTTTCGTGCACAGTGAAAGAAGGAAGGAAGCAAAGAAGAAGGAGCAAGAGGAAAACTGAAGAGCTGTAACAGATAACAATGGACCATTTGTTAGATGGTCGAACTCTCGCAACCTACAATGGATACCATTATCAGCTAAATTAACCGTTCTGTTAAACCTATTGTCCGGTAGATCCGGAACAACCCCGCATCATCCTTTCACCGAAAAATGGAAACCTCGACTTTTAAAAATGAAGATATCGCCGTAGAGTTTCTCGGACAATATGTCGGTCGCAAGTTATCGGGCATCTGTCAAAGAAAACAAATGGTTCGTTAACTCGAGCCTCTTGGAAACACCTTTGATACAATAGCATTTTAAGTAATATATAAATGTAAATAAAACGAACGCAATAAAAGTAATAAAAATTACAAAAATTGGCCGGAGTAGGCTGCTACGTATGTTCAACGTGTTATCGTCGGAGTGCTAAATTAAATATAGCTCCTTTTCCATGATCCCATCGGCGACAGTTCACCACTCACAAAGTTCGGTCCGTGGCAACGCATCTATCCCGTATCATGTATTATTCATCAACCGGGCTTTCATTCGAACCCCGTGGTCGGAAATAGTAATGCAGTCGCCAACCATCCCATCGTTATGCGCTGGTTTTCTACTTTTCTATCGATTTCGGCTACATACGGGGGATCGTTCATCTCTCGGCTCCCATAAGTGGCCGTGGAATCGCGAACAAACCTGGCTGTCGATCAAGATGAATCGTTTCCCTCCAACAGTCCATTGCTGTAGCAGCGAAGCTTTCACAGTTTCTAAGGGATCAATCGATCGATATTATTAATCAAAGCGATAAGAAACGCATTAGGCGCTAGAATACGAACGCAGGATTTAATATTTTAGAAAGATTGTTTCATAATAGAGTAACCACAAACGATCCAGACAAAATGAAGTTTGAACATACACAATGAGTGGTAACGTGCTTTCATGGAAACTAGGTTATAGGACACGCTACAGATGTCTCTCGCGCTCTTTTCGCGTAATGTTTGGCGACAATTAAACTGTAGATGTCTAAGCATTTACGAGAAATTATAAGTATAGTATAAATGCATAGAGTATGTGTGACATGGAAAGGCACGTGTAAAATATCCAAACTATAGTACGTATTTGATACAATGTTTAGTACAATTCTTGGAAGATCAATTTATCGCAAAAAACGACGCACATTTTTATATCTTTTTTACACACATTTTCTCGATCGCGTTATTTCTGTGTCTACTGCAAGACACCCAGTACATGACGAGAACGTCTCCTTTCGTCACCTGCACCTGTTTGTAGAAAGTTTCTGACGATCTGGTACGTTCCTGGAGAGATCAATCGCGTCGCGAGGAGTTGTTCGTCTTTGTGAGGCGCGAAAAATGTTTGCGGCCTGACCGACCACAAGCGCCAGAGTGTAAAATCATGCATGTCGTATATACCACGGCACCTAACAAGCCGGCCTTTGTAACGGATTGCAAAACGACCATGGAAGTATGGTCGAACAGCCATCGAGAGGAATACCGTACTAACTAAGAAAGACTTTGCCGAGAGAACGATGAAACACTATCTTGAAATTTGTTCCTCTCTCGAGATGTATTGTATTTCAAAAGTATTACGCAATGGAGATTGCAATGAGAAGATACCTGAAATACTTGATAAATTTTCTACTGCAACACAGTAGTCTCTTTAACGCGTTTAAGTAAAATTTTTAGAAAATCTCCTCGCCATTATTCCCGATGATTAGTGATCTGCAAAACGTTTTCATTTTAGACATGCAAGCACACCGTTTGGATAGTGTGATAGAGATAGCAGTTACTTCATTCTTCGACTGTACTGCGAATTAAATTCGAAGTGCTTTATCGCGTCGATCGATTTCTCGACACCTCGCCGATTATTCGAAAGATTCAAGACAAGCCGAGGCGATACCAATAAGTCAATGAGCAGGCCCGGTGTCAGGCCTGGGAACAAAGTCCAAACTGCAACAGTGAATTCTCTTTGCCGAATGCAAAGACAGACGGAGGGAGGAACGAGAAGGGGAATAGAAGATGAAGTACGAAAGAGAACGGAGAGAAGAAACGAAGAGGAGGAACCCGGCCAAAGACGTTTAAAAACTGGTTCCTTCCACCCATTTCTTTTCACCTTATTTGCTAATCCGAATTCTGATTTCCATATATCCGCATATACGATATTCGAGTCCCGGCGGAGATCGGTATCGGCTGGTAGACCGTAAAATATGTCGACGGGACTGTGTCTTTTGATTTACCAGATAAATACCAGATAGATGTTTATCACCTCGAGAAACGTTGTCTGCGTTTAATAACATCATTCGCAAATTTACCGGAACATGCAAAAAAAAAAAAAGAAAAAAGAAAAAATTCGTAGCGTCGCAACGTTGTTATGTAAACCACTTCATCTCCGATAATTGATAGATTTTATCGATCGTATCGCTGTGAGCGTAATTAGGCATCGTAAAATCGATTGTTCGCAATCAGAATGACGAGTTTAAATTCGCAACATTTAAAATATTTCATACGAATGTTCGATCGTTCATCGCAAGCTATGACTCCCTGCGATCTGCGAACTTTATGCCTTAATTTCGCATTATCTTTCAGCAGATAAAAAATTGCGATACTTCGGTGCAAAATTGCAAATTTAAATACGACTCTTTCACATTTCAGGGAGATTCGATTCAACGATAGAAAATCACAATGACAAAGAACACCGAGAAATGAAGAAGTAGTGAAAATGCAAAGGGGGAGGGAAAAGAACGATGCAGATTATGTCAGGAAGCACGATCGATCAAGTTTCAAGGGGAGCATCGAATATCGATCCCGCGAATCGTTGTGCACGCACCCTTATCCCCGAATCGGGACCCCTTAAGAGATAGAGATCTTGCTCGTGGTCCCGCAGCAAGAAAACGGGCTGCTGTAGACTGCAGACCTTTTCTCATTGAGTCAGTCAGTCAGTCAGTCAGTCAGTTTGCCGCAGCGACGCGGCCCGTACGTACGAGCGTGTGTATACGCGTCTTGTTGACTTAACGCATCGCGTGATCGCGTACGGCTGCATTATCGACTGAGCAGAAAGCAGAAAGCTGCGGTGGGATATCGGCGAAATTGGTCGTCGGTCAACCGGTCGTTGGTCGTTCTCCCGATCCCCGGGACTTGATCCCCACTGAAGCTTCGCACACTGAAGGTTCTCACACTGGGTTGTGTCAGCTCGTTAGATTGCGTGCGTGAGAACGTGCCCGTTCGTCTCGAGTCTCGCCGTGAAATCCCGTATTTCACGCGTCGAATCGTGGCGTGTTCCGTCAGCCAGCAGACATCGAAACACGCGAGTGGCACGCACACTAACGAATATACCGAGCAGAGGACTGAGTAAAGATAGAGAGAGATAGAGAAAGAAAGAGAAAAAGAGACACGGCAGATAAGAGATAGAAAGGGAGAAATAGATTTACAACAGCCACAAGGGGGGCTAGTCATAAACCGTGCAACACCTGGCGGCACGTCGTTAATTATGCAGTGGGCCGCAGCCGCCCTGACCTCGGCGGCGATCGCTCTGCTCCTGGACACGGCGGCCGCGAGACATCACCATCGGTCCGGCAATGGGCACAAACCGACCGGTGACATCTCCCTATGGATCGACCAGCAACAGATCAAAATGTTCAGCGGTGAGTCGGCCTACGCATACCGGTGTTACCGCTGTGCCGTGTTCCTCTTCCCTTACACTCTCTGCTACTTCGTTCTTATAATATTTTGTTCCTTCTTTTAGTCCTTTAGCCATTAGCGCTGATATTAGACGAAGGAAACGCATATTCAGTCAGTTTTTTGAAAGAGTATCACATTGTCTCGTATATCACGTTGACGAGGTTGCCATTTTTTGCGAATGCTGTTGCCGATGTTCACGGTTTTAGCAAATGTGGAGAAATATTTATCTTTTCGTCTTATGTAAAACTGCTTTGTTATGCGAGTTTCATTTATCGTTCGCGTACATACAACTTATAGTTTTTACGTGATTCTTTTATATTTAAGTACAATTGTGTCGATTCAGAATATGTTCTTTAAATTTATTACACGTTACAATTTTTTTCTTTTTTCTCTTTTTTGTTTCGTTTAGGGGTTGAAATGGAGATATTTGCAATTACTGAAGGTAGGGTGTTGCCCTATCTATTGGACCCGGAATTCGAAAGCAAACTACCGATTATTCCGAGCGAAGTAACGTACGTGAATTTTACATGGAAGTCCGGTGTAAAGAAGTATTACTATAATTTTTATCGATTAAAATCGTTCGACGAGACGATTTTGAAAACACCATATATTACGATTAAAACGCAAGGAAGAGTACCCAAGAGACCCAAGGGTAATTTACATATCTTTTTCTTTACGTATCAACGTAACATTTTTTTAATCAATAATGTTAACACAAATGAATAATGATTAACGAAATATTATTGAATCTAACTTGAGTATGTGTGTGCATAAATACATAATGTTTGTTAAATTCGCAGAATTCAGCGTCCTATTACCATGCTCCGGTAATAATTCGGGCATCGCGCAATTGGGCATCGGTCTGATGATTGAAACACGTAAGGGGAAACCTTTAAACGGAACACCCCTTCGTCTTAATCTGAGAAAAGAATGCACCGTGCGCGGTGAGTGCGTCAATCGCGCCCACGATCATCATCTCTCCATTCATACACACAGTTCTGTATCAGCAATAATTCATCGCTCAGTTTGCTACGTGTTTTAATAGGAAACAATCGAAATCTTAACTGCTTCGTAATTATAAAAATTCTTTGCGCAAGGGATAAGGGGAAAAAGGAATCAACGATCAATAAAAACAATAGTTCTGCAGCAACTCTTACATACATACGAAAAGAAGAAGGCACACATATTGTGAATTGACGATGATTTCGATCGTTTTCTTGCTCGATCGATGCATCTTTGTGTATTTAGTTTTGCGGGGCGGTTTAACCGTGCATGATGCTTTTCGAGACTTTCGCATCCATGCCTTTGTTCCATAGAATCGATAAACTAACTTAACTTCTGTTGAATGAACTCTATTCTGGCTCAAAGATATCGTAAAATTTTTGTCAATAAAAATGACCGAAGCATTCTTTAAACGACGATTAATATATAATTCCGCTTGTCTGTTGAAATTTATGTAATCTTATATTTTTTCTTGTGTTTCTTTACGGTGATTGTTTCTGGTTTGAGCGTAAAAGGCACAATGAAATTTATGCATGAATTAATTTGATGTATATTAGTGCTATGCATGATTTTATATGGCATTACTAAAAAAATACATTTAAAATTACACTTATTGTATTCAGCTTTTCTATGTCAAACGAATTTTTTTTATACGTAATATTTCTCATTGCAGAACCTAATCCTGGACCTTGTCCGGATGGATATTTAGGTCCACCTCATTGTAAAAAGGCATTGTGTTATCCAAATTGTATGAACGGTGGCAACTGTACAGCTCCTGGTGTTTGTTCGTGTCCACCAGGTTTTCAAGGACCATATTGCGAAGGAGGTACTTTTAAATCAAAATAGTATACATGTATAAAACAGATATTATTTTATTTTATATAAAATTAATTCGTTAATATTACATTTTCATACTAACATTAATATTTTCATACTAATAAATTATGTAATTTATATAATTTTGGATATTGATATAGCAGTCTTACAGCCACATTTAATAACATTTGTTAAAGCTTGATAAAATGGTGCTTGTTCTGCGCCATGTTCTATGCCTGTGTCATGATGTTCTTGTTCTTCATCGCGGAATTTTTTAATTGTTTCTAAAACCTCTTCATCGACTTTTTCATCACTTTCCATCAATGCACGCAGTTGATCATTATAATGTTCTGTGATCACTGTTTCAACAGCTACTGTGCATGCCATAGCTGCTTTTTCTCCCATGAGTGCTGTTCCAGCACCAAGGACAAATCCAGCAACATTCCAAACAGGTGTCAAAACAGTAGGTCTTACACGATATTTTCTAATTAACTCCTCAAACTTTGCACGATGTTTCTTTTCTTGATCCCACATATGTTGAATAGTAGGGCCAACAGATGTTTTACCTGTCTTATATACTCGCATTAAATTTCGATTTATCTCCAAAAAAGCAACAGCACTCTACCATGTATCTATAATACATTTATACCTAAGACAGCCATTTGTCCAGCATATATTCTATCGGCTCCTAATTCTCCAGCGTGATCTACTCTTATAACTGAATCTAACAATTTCCCTGATCTAGTTGTTCCTGAAGCTGCTGATGTGCTCATCAACCGAACTCCGAGTTGTCTGAGATGCAGCATTTTTTCTATAAACTTTAAGAAAACATTCCTGAGTTAACTTTCTTTTCTTTTAATCGAAGCACAATTGATTTTAGGTATATGCGCGGAGAAGTGTTTAAACGGTGGAAAGTGTGTGCAGAAAGATACTTGCGAATGTCCAAAAGGATATTTTGGATTACGTTGTGAATTTTGTAAGTGTACCATAATAATAGTTAAAATTTCAATGTTGTCTTTGCAATAATTATATTTTTTCTTTTTTTTTTTTTTAGCAAAATGTGTAATTCCCTGTTTAAATGGAGGGAAATGCAAAGGGAACAATGTATGCAGATGTCCCACTGGTTTCAAGGGTGATCATTGTGAAATTGGCAGAAGATCTCCACAACGTTCAGCCTGCACAAGAGCATGTAGAAATGGAACTTGCCAGCCTGATAATACATGCCTCTGTGAGCCTGGCTGGTTCGGAAAGTTGTGCAATAAAAACAAGCCATGGGCTTGAACATAGAAATGTATTTTCCACCAGTGGTATCGCATTCATAGCCAATTGGATCAATGCAACAAGATTTTTATTTAACATGAAATTACGAAATGTCTTGAAGCCTTGAATTCTATTTGTTCATTCAGGAGTTTGAGACATTTTTCACTTTGAACCTCGCATTTAGTTTAATGATTTTTATAGTTAGTATGATATTGAATACTCAAAGTATCGGAAATTAATAATTTTACAAAGTATTATATACTCGTTGATTTAACAACAGCATTTTACAATCCAATTGGTTAATACCACTAAACTAACATGTATAGTTAGTAATTTACCCCACCCCAGATGTGATATGTAAAGCTGCTTTACTACATATTTTATACTATTAAATATTATTTTTTAAATAATATTGTTAGATATTGTAATGATTGTAAAAAAAAAAATAAAATATATTTTTTTCTCTTGTAATATTAGTCATGATCCTATTCGTGATCGCACGAGAGAAGAGAGTCACAAGTCATTTTCACACTTGAAATGGAAATTCTGAGCCTCGATGAGAATTTACAATCTCTCGTTACGAGAACGCAAACAATAAGAGAGACGAGCGTCGCTGTAAAGATAATGCGCAAAGAGGAAGAAAAAAAAAGCACTGTATACCCACCGCAAAAGTCGACCGTGTGAGAAACGTCAAAACAACATGCGTGAACGATTGTTTCTTGCCCGTTTCAGTTACAGATTTATAGGTTGGACTGAAACTCAGCAACGTCGTTCCAGGGAGGCTGAGAATACGAGTCACGTGTTTCAGGACCCAATAAGAAGGTAGATCAGATGGACGCCATAACGCGTACCCCAGTAGTATCAGCCAATCAGATTATTCCAGACTCGTATACATGTATATGGTGTTCGCGTTTCCGTGGTCGCTGGTACCTTTTTGCGGATTCTGACGGGAAATTGGTGAGTGCCGAATAAGCATCGGTGCGTTACTAGCACGTAATTGATCGTTGAGGGCCCGGGCGATGCGCGTACGTCGCGCATTCGCGAAATAAGGGCAATTTCGCATCGTCTGCTTGGAGTGCACCGCGCAGGCTCGCTCAAAATGGCCGCCTCGCTGCCGCGTTTGTTGTGGTGGAGATGGAGGGCCGCGTAGCCGATCGATACGGCCGCTGGCGAAACTGGCCATGGTGTCTATGGCGGCTGTTGTGCGTGTTGTTGTGGCGTGGCGCGACGTTCACACGAGTTACGCCCGGTGAGATAGAAAATCGCATTCTAGCCTCACGGTGGTGGTGCTGTGCGGGTGAGCAGCGTTCGACACGGGTGGCGAGATGAGACCGCGAGACGCGAGCGTAGGGCGTGGTGAGAGAGCGTAGCCGACGGCGGCCTCCCCGCAGACGCGAAACCCTGAGCCCTCCCTGATCGGGTGACCACTCACGGGACACACAAGGTGCGTACGCAACTCGCGATTTTCACTGGGCCTGCTCCATGGCTCCGCGGTACCGCGGTCATGAGCTTTGCGGCCCCGGAGGTGGTCTCTTTTGCGTGTGCCCTGCGCATTTTCATTGCCCCCCCAAGTATCCGCCAAATAAACGCGCCGTGTGCGCGGCTTGGCGCATCTTCTCTCTCTGTTCTCTCACGTCTCGTCACGCTTTCTGCCAAGCCACGCTCTTACCACCCTTCTTAACTGCCCGTCTGTTGTTTGTCGTCTGTCGCCTGTCAAATTCGTCCGACAAATATGTATCTGTTGTTCGCTGTCATTCCGAGTTTGACACCGGATCGCTACGCTTCGTCCGTGCTTCGCCAATTCCCTATGTTTGTGCACGGACTACGGCAGCGACGACGACGACGACGACGACGTTTCTTACTTATGTTACTTATGTTACGTTACATTATTCTTTACTTGCACTTTATTTTCATCACATTGTTTCGCATTTAACGCGTTCTATCTCGCGTCGCGTTTTACCATGCGTGGGATACCTGAATATACGCGCGGGAAATGCTCCGCCGCGAACTCGTTGTTTATGTTTCTCAAATCACGACCGTATGTAGTATCGTTGTCCCTGGATTTTTATCTACTCTATTTTACTCTTATTGTTGCAATGCGTCTGATTGTCATCATTCCCCGTACAAGAAAACGTTACGCAAGAATCAATTAGTAATTATACGTTTAATGACATTATCATACTTTGTTGGAAATCTATATTTCGTTCATATGAAATATACGTCTTTTTTCTATTCTTATATTCTCAATTAATAATGTGGATAATGAGATTGTTTGTTTTGGTTATTCTTAAAGCATCATTTTGATATAGTCTTCTAAATTAAAATTTAGATTTATCCACGTTACATTTTATCATCATTGTTTCAACATTTAAGTTATTTTACATTTACAATTAAATGATTTTCGTGTTAAATGAAAGGAACCTTGTAATAAAAAATATGTTTATAAACATGTAAGATAACTTTGCTTTGCAGAAAAGAATTTTATATATTTTATTTCTCATATAAGCGTGTTTCTTTCAATGTAGGAGAAGGTGATGTAGAAAAGAAATAAGAATTCGAAGATTGACATTTATTACAACTGGACATTGCAATATAATCAAAGACAAGACGGGTGACGAAGACAAGAAGATGGTATCTCTGCCTAATGCAGAGTCTGGAACAATGGACAGAATCTCAGATGATGATGATGACGAGCCAAGTAGCGGATCTGAAACGTACGAGGAGGGTGACCTGTTGACTGCTGCTATGGATGATGATGTAACGGCCCAGCTCGCCGCTGCAGGTTGGCAAATCAAACACGCTAATGGTGATTTCCATTTTTTTGCTTTTTCACCTTTTGAGTTATTTACATTCTAATCAGTTTCATTTACAAAAGGAAAATAACGTACAGGGTGCACCAATAATGTTAAAATGACCAGATCTTACACATAAGTACAAGAGAAATACTAGTAGAAGACTGTAAATTAAATTTTTTTATATATATTGAGTTCTTTTTGTAAGTAATATAATCGTGTTATTGTTATACTTTTTATATAAAGTATTAAAGTACTATTTATATAATGTTGTTCAAATCTTTAAATGAAAATAAAGTAAAATTGTTACATCATGCAACATTATAATAGTCAAATAAATATGAAAAATAGAAATCTTGATTTATTATTAACAGAAACATAGAAATAAATACTACTTGCCAATGATACATCTAATCTGGTAATTATTAAATATTAAACTAAAGTACATGTATAAGAAACATATTCTCTTAAAAGTTCTAACATGGTATTAACAGATGTATTTATTTATTTTTATTCATTATCTTTGCTTATTACCTAATTACATCACAGTGCAGCATGAATTTATTGCTGTTTTATTTTAATTTTACTTTACTTTTTTTTATTATTTTAATATCATTTTTCTTCCAACAAAATAAATATCTATAATGCAAATTAAAAAAAACGAACTGAAAAAAATATCATTATTAAATACATTTTACATTGTTTGTGTGCTGTAATATTATTTGCTTCCTGTTTTTAATATTCTCTATACATGGAAACACTGTTTTTTTTATATATGTATTTTAATTTTGCATTTTATATGTAATTTTCATTTGCAAATTTAGAATTATCCATATATATATATATATATATATATATATATATATATATATATATATATATACATACACATATACATATACATATATATATGTAGGTTATATCATCTTTTTTGTGTGTTTATTAAAATCATAGCTTATAATCAGATATTTAGTTTAATTATAATTAATTAATATTTATAATAAAGAAGTAATATTTCAGTTTAATATTTGTCATTTAAATTTATGTTCATTTTTTGTGCAGTAAGTTTGTTCTGTTATGTTCATTATCTAAATGTTGTAGAAGAATTTAATATTTTGTAGATGTTCATTTTCAATAAGGGATTCAAGAATATATTATTTATTCAGATTTCAAATACGTTTTATTTCGTTAGAAAGCAATAACTAATTCTTTATTATGTAATTTATTTTTACGTATATAATATATTCCTGAATGTCGAGCACGTTTCATGTCATTATTGCTTTGCATCTCTTTTATTTTGAATGAATCAAAGATATACATGTCAGTAAAATATGTATATATACACTTATATATATATATAATAATGTTTTGGATAGAATAACAAAAATATATGTATTTTGAAAATATCGAATAAATGAGAATTTTTTTGTTCCATATCTTTTAATACTAGTATCAGTATTTTACTGACATTTTATTTGGTGTGGGATTGAAAAATTAGAAAACATATAGTTAATAATTTGCACATTTAGGGCCTGTTGGCGTAGCTGCTGCTGCTGCGATTGTCTCAGCGAAAAAAAGAAAACGACCTCATAGTTTTGAAACAAATCCCAGCATTAGAAAGAGACAACAAAATAGACTTCTAAGGAAACTGAGAGTAAGTACATATTATAATACACACGGCTGTGTTTTATCTTGTTTTTGTATGCCTTTAAATATGTATATTATTTACAGCAAACCATAGATGAATTTGCAACGCGGGTTGGACAGCAGGCAGTAGTATTAGTAGCTACACCAGGGAAGCCAAACAGTAGTTATAAAGTATTTGGTGCAAAACCATTAGAAGATGTAGTAAAAAATTTAAGAAGTGTTATAATGGAAGAGCTTGAAAGTGCGCTCGCGCAACAAGCTCCGCCGCCAGTGCAGGACGATCCTTCTTTGTACGAATTACCACCTCTTATAATAGACGGCATACCAACACCTGTTGAAAAAATGACACAAGCTCAACTCAGAGCATTTATCCCCTTAATGTTAAAGTATTCTACAGGCAGAGGTAAACCAGGTTGGGGGAGAGACAGTACACGACCACCGTGGTGGCCAAAAGAACTTCCTTGGGCAAACGTGCGTATGGATGCAAGGTCAGAGGACGAGAAACAAAAGGTTTGTAAATATTTAAAAAAGAACTTCGAACGTTTGCTTTTCATTTTGAAAATTCTCCAAACTCCTTGATGTTTGTTTTAATGTATTTATTTTATTTTTTTTTTAGATTTCTTGGACACACGCGTTAAGACAAATTGTAATAAACTGTTATAAATTTCATGGAAGAGAAGATCTTCTACCTGCATTCAGCGAAGAGGATGATAAATCAAATATACTGATACAACAGTCGACCCCTCATTCTTCGTCACATCCGTCACATTCATCCAGTCAAGGGCAAGGTGGACAATCGCAACAACAACAGCAGACGGTGGGAGTTGTTCGCCTCAGCAGCACGGATTCATCTAAGGGAAACTCTTCGCCAGCACAAATCATTGCCGCGTCTCCTACAGCTCTTGCCACTGCCACTCAGGTGGGAGTGGATAGAGTACAAAAAAAAAGGAATTGATCGAAACATCATGATCGAAAAAAGTGGAATTATTTAGTGCAATTTCAAACTGGTCAGACTTGACAGAATTTCGATATCGGAAGGTTATGGTGTTTCTTTAAATTCTGGTTTTACATATAAAGGAAAATTAAAATTTGAAATTTCTTTACGCGCAGTTTGCGTTTACGTTAATGTGTTTGGTTTCCCTTATTTGAGTTTAATCTATCTTTTATTTCTGTAAATATTATCGTATTTTGTGACAAAGTTTATTTAATTTCATATCTTTTATGAAATTTTCATCATGTTTTTAGTTGTAATCATATTTTGCTTTCTGAAACATCTAAAAAATGTACATTATGTGACCGTTATAATCATGTTTTCCTTTTTTCTCTTTTTTTATGTTATAGATGACAGCTCAATATCCAACAGCAGTTTTACAAACAATAACGAACCCTGATGGTACTGTGTCGATCATTCAGGTTGATCCTAGTAATCCAATAATTACGTTACCAGATGGTACAACAGCTCAAGTTCAAGGTGTTGCTACCGTAAGTTGTTGTAAATCACTTTTCATACATTTATTTATTTATTTATTTTTTTTATTTATTTCGAAAGCAAATTTTTGAAATGAAAATGAATTCTTTCATATATAGATCCATACAAGTCAAGGAGAAGTTCAAGCACTTGCTGAAGTAGCAGGCAGTGCGGAAGGTACTAGCGTGGCTGTCGACCTAAACAGTGTTACAGAAGCAACGTTAGGTCAAGATGGTCAAATCATTCTCACCGGAGAAGACGGACACGGTAAAACAGTTTTCTATAGGCTCTGCACCGTCGCCGGCCAGGAGCTACTTGAACAGTGAATTCAATTTTACTGGTCCAGGATCCTTTGTTGTTTTGCATGCTGTCTGCTACGCTCCATTCAAGAAAAATACCTACGTGTTCTACTACTTTGTACAACGAAAGTAGAATATCGATTAGTTAATCTTTTTTGATACTACTGTACATACGCAATTTCACTCGGAGCTATGCACAGCTTTATTTTAATTTCTTCTTTAAGAATCCATGATACATAGAATGAAGATGTTATTAGAAGAATCGCCTAGAACATTCATGTATTGATTTTTATATATAAATTAATGTGCAGAGAGAAGTCTACAAAGTAGAATTGTTCTCGATGTGACATCATTTTGTATATGTTTTTGATGTTTGTAGACTATTTACTTCCTGAGATGAGATAAAATTTTTTTTTAGAAAGAACTTGATAACGATGAACCGACAAAATCAAATTCATTCGTGTGTGCATGTACATATTATTTTTTACATATTGGAAAAGGAATTGATTGAGAATAATACGTTCACATGTCGGAATGTTGCATGTATAGTTTATGTATAGTTCACTGAAAAGAAGTTTATAGAGATTTTCTAACATTTTAAAATGTGTACATTATAAAACATAAACAGATAGAATAAATCGGTTCACATGGATTCTTAAGATTTTAAATTTACGAGAAAATAAAGGAAGGTATTTCACATAATCACGAAAAAAAACCTATCCCTGTTTTACAATTATTACTTTTATCGTTATTACCGAAAATTGGTTATTAAGACAAAGAGAAATAAAACTGCTGTACATAGAGTATTTTTTGTTGATGTTTTTATTATTTTATAGTTGTTGTATTTAGCAGCCTTTGTTTAAGCTACTCACGATTGCTGTTTCCTAATTTATTTAAATTGAATAAATTATTTTGAGTAAAAAAAATTCGCATTCATACAATTTATGCTCGTCCATACTTGATCTTACAGAATGGCTTAAACATTTGTTGCTTTTCATTAATGCCTTTATTTTTTCTGAAGTGTAGATGAAAATTACGTTTGTACGATATTAGATTAGAAGTGTGTGCCAGGAAAAAAGATAAGCGCGAAATGTTGAAATAAATTACTCGTTTCTTTTTTTTTCTTCTATTGAATTAAACGTTCGACGCATGAAACAAGTACGTCTACTTTTCTCTAGCACACCCTGTTAATCTAACATTTTTTTATTTGCTTTGTCTAGAACAATATATATTTTTATTTTGACATTTAAGTTTTTTCCCGTATATACTCTGTTAAATCTGACTGTATCGTAAACTGGTATAACACACAAATCCAAGAAAAAACTATCGATGTTAAAAATACACGTACGGATGCGTGCTCTCTGAATTACTACACGTTTAACTTTTCGATTTCCAGTTTGCTATACAGAGAGAAAAATGCCTGGTCAGGGGCAGAACACAGGACAATTACTTCTTTGTTTCAGGCTATCCTGTTTCCGTCTCAGGAGTAATAACAGTACCGGTGTCTGCTAGTATGTATCAAACTATGGTTGCCAATATACAAAGTGACGGTACGATGCAAGTAGTTACACCGATGGTTCAAGTCCCAAAAGTTGAGCCTGGAAACGGGGAAACTAGCATTGAGGCTGTCACTATTCAAGGGCATCCTATGACAATGATAAACGCTGCAGGTGAACATCAAGTTCTTCAAGTGATATCACTGAAAGATGCTAATGTCCTTACAAAGGCTATGCAAGCTGAAGTTGTGAAAGATGAGGACAGTCAACAACAACAAACCGTCTCTAGTCCAGAATAAAGCGTTTTACATAGTTAATATAAAGCTTTTATGTTAACACCAGAATGCGACAGGTGCACATTAGTGGTGTTCATGAGAGAAAGAGTGAGAGTATTAGAAATGATATGTGTTATTAATATTAAGGAAACTGATTGTGTCTTTTTTGAATCATTGTGTAGCGTGTCCTCTTGTTGAGAAACAGTAAATGAATAGCGAATATGTTTGGAGAGTGAAAATGTTTGAATGTTCCAATGACTCATTGGACTTGAATGTAATCATATTTGTATTCAAGATTCATTGTAGACACTTAGAGGTATTCACTTGTAATTCAATCTCTCAAAGATAGTACTAATTTTTAGAAAGTACTGCGGCGCTCGATGAATGCAAATCATCGTTATATATACAAAATTTCATCGATATATTTATAGTGACGTCGTCTGGATATTTAACATATTTCCGTGATAAGCAAACATGGATACAAATATTTTCGTCTAGTCTCTTAGTATCGGATCCTTAAGAAAGATCGACATACCAAAGAATTTTAAATTTGCGTTAGACTGTTTTACGAAACAGACTATTATCAACAAATGATATAATTTAACTACATTGATCTAAACGAAAAGCAAAAAAAAAAAAAAAAAACATGTCGATGCTGCAAACAATGTATGTAACTCGTGATACATGGA